TTGAATGCTGTTTACGAAAATGGAAATTAAAACTGCAAAATGATTCTCCTTAAAAAGTTATGGGGGCACGGATTTTGCTCGACAGTAGTATCAATTGTCAAAAGAAATGTCAGAAAACGTTTAGAGAGCCTTTGATAAAATGAAAAAACACTTTGCAAAAGTGCAGAAAATGTCGGGGAGGGACCCCTCATTTCACTCCCACAAAGCGAGACCACTACCACTAGGTCACGTGGGCGTTTGATATGGAAGCGACGAGTTCGCATTTCCAATTGATACTACTGTCGAGCAAAATTCGGGCCCCCATAACTTTTTAAGGAGAACCATTTTGCAGATTTAATTTCCATTTTCGTAAACAGCATTCAAAACCCTATCGATCTATCTGGGTCTGAATTCAAAGTTCCAAGATAAGTAGACTACCCCTCCCTGGTTAGACTAGTTTGTTAGGGCGGGACAGAAACCGTCTAACCTTCTAACCCCCACAGAGCCACAGAGTTTGCGACCCCTTGCCATGAGACACCCCTGACGTAGCACCCTTAGTGAGTGCTGGCAGGACGGACCTCCGTGGTTTGTGAGATAGGTAAAGTCAAGCTATTGAGAAAGGCCTAAAAGGTCGGTTCCTTTGCAGTAGGACCTCCCGCGGTTCCCTCTGTGCCCGACCCACTAGTGAATTCTTTTATCGAATCTTTCTTTCCCGGCTGGTCTTTGTTTTATTTGGTCGGGTTTTTCTTGTCAGTACAATAAATTACAATTGCTACAATCGCTGGGTTTCGCCTGACATTCTTAAACAGAGGAGCCATCCCTATTCGGTGTCAACTCAATATCCCTATGGAGGGACCTTACAACTTGGCCTTCATCCCAACCAAATATTCATCCTGGAGAAAAGGTGTAAATACACCGATTAAGCCGACCTTGCATTCAAGCGGGGACAAACGATGAAGATGAGGAAGATCTTGTAGCGGTAGGATAATGGTATGCCTCATCCACGTCTTACCTTAGCCCAAAAGTTTTGCTCAGATCCCATCAGATTTGACACTAAAACTCCATAACAGTTTCAGTAAACAGACCGTCCAAAACAACGAAAGATTGAGTGTAGCTTCCTCTTATTGATTGGTGTGACATTATGCTCAATCGTTGTTATAATTGAAGGAATTTTTTTGAAAAGACTCTTTTATTGAATTTTAGCAGTTTGGCATAAGTGCTAAAGATGCGGACTCAATCGTTGAACGAGGAGTGCCGGAGGCGTCCCCTGGAGAAACGGCACCTATCTGTGACCTTCAGAAACTCTTTCGCGAACTCAAAGCACTTGGGTGTAAATTGGCGTTATGTACTGCGGACAGCAGGTACAGGTTTCCTTCAGCGTTGTAGAAAATATATGAATTAGGCTTATCGTAAAATCTGGCTTCCAATGTCATGCCATGTTTTTTCTTTCACTAAGTAACTCAAATGATAGGTCTGGGTAATACTTACCACATCATTGTCTCTTTATTATAATCTAATTTTCAAGAAAACAAAGAGTAAAAGTAGAGTGAAAATGATCATGCAAAGTGATTTAAGAGCCGCTACCGAACAACAGATGCGTATTCTTGGTATTGCATCGCTACTCGACGACGTCGTTTGCGGTAATGACAGCGGCATCATACCAAAACCGAGTCCACTGTGCGCTATTCAAATCTGCAAGCGACTTGATGTGCCACTAAATGTGAGTTTACCAATGATAAAACGATGAAAAGCTCTGAGAGCATGAGGAATCAAGGAACATCGATTCCAACAAGATTAGCTCTAAATTGCTCTCCAGCTTGACGCTCTGTAGACTAAATTGAGAGTATGTATGTGGTAATTCTTTTGAGAAATAGAAAGATTGTGCCACCAACCTGTGCCCGAGGCTGACGTTAAGTTTAAAATATTATCCTCGGGAGTACTAACCGTTCTCAATAGAAACGAAGGCTACAGAATACGAACTTAACGTGTAAGCAAAGGCAAGGGTTGAGAGAATTGCGCGAATTAAGATCTAATGGTACTTTACGCATATCAGTCAGCGATAAGGGTGTCGAGTTTGTTGTTATGTCTCAAACACTTGACCGAGCCATAACCGAACTACACCTCAGTGACTCCTCTGTTTACTGTCGCGCAACTGAAAAGGGCTTTTCATCACAGTGTAGTCGCCTCAATCATATATGGTTGAGGGTCGCTAAATCTGCAGGCATTGATGAAAATTTGGTCACTAGACTCAAATTGGATAGCCACAGCTGTCCAGTTTTCTACAGTCTCATTAAGACACATAAACTCTCCTCTCACGAAACGCTGTCAACATCACCGGATACTTCAAAATTCGGCCCATTATTAGTTGTGTAGGGGGACCAACTGACAGGATCTCGTGGTTTGTCAGTAATGTTGTGAGCCAACTGTCGACCATGGTTCCGTCTCACCTGTCCAATACTAAGCATTTCCTTGAGCTACTACATAGCTCAGACCTCGGTCGGAGTAGTGTAGTTGAATCATTTGATGTAGTTTCGCTTTACACTAATGTCCAAAACGAGCAGGCACTACAAGCACTATCTGGAATGCTTGATAGGCATGCTAATAACATTAACACCTTTAGTTTTAGCAAAATACATATAATGACGTTGGTCAAGGAGTGCATGGGCTGTAACATCTTCAAATGGGCAGGAAAGTATGTACTTTTTTCAAGTGAGAGGCCTTGCTGTGGGACAACGGTTGGCACCGGTTCTTGCTGTATGCTTTATGGGAAGAATTGAAGAGCCGGCATCCTTTGATGTACTGCTCGGGCGAAGCTGAACGTCACGAATCGCGACGTTTAGCTTGTGAGATAGCTGCTGTGAACGGTTACACGGTGTCACAAGTTCGTGGAAAATGTCATATCAGAACGAAGAATG